AGTCATCCGTGGTTTCCGATCGACTCAATTGATCCCAATCTGATGGACACCGACAGAGACTGAGTGCTTATAAGCCATACCTGTATTCCCTATAAGTTATAGACTATAACCATATCCTATGAATATTTTTATCAATAACCTGTATTGAACGCTATTCCCTAAGCATTTATAAAGTGCAAATATTATATACTGTAATTATATGATAAAACAAAAGTAGAAAAAATCGAGAATATTATAAAATTAATTAATAAACTAGGTGAAAACTATTATAAACTACTGAAACACAATTCATTGGAAATAACATTCAATTTATAGGTATTCTCACAACTGTTCACATTTTAAATGTTAAACCTTTTGTACTCCAATTGATAACATATACAGAATTCATTTTTTCGCTGCATTCTCATTTAAACAAAATTTAATGATTTTGGAATTTGTATTATTTTTTAGTATTAGTCAAAGTCAATAATTTATCCTGGTAATGCTTATTGGTACTGTATAATGGGTCATTATAACAATCAATTAATGATAAGGGACGTTTGCCAATGTATTTATATTGGTTTAACTAAAATACCTGATTTACAGGCTGTTTACTTTGTTTTTGAACATTTATTTTTTACATTTAGATGTATATCCAATATCCAATATATTTTATAAAGTTATATTGATAAAGTTCGCGTTAGTAAACAATGAAATATAAATTACTTTTCGCACAAAAACTTTTACTTTACTAGATAAAAAAAATAACGCCAACACTTATCACAAAAACTTTATGATAACATTTATACATTTATGACGACAAAAACGTCTTATTTTAAATAATTGTTTCAATGAATCAAAGAGTTAGACATTAGTATGAAATATAGTCATATAAAAGGTAACCAAAAGACAAACCAATGCCTCGAGAGACCAAATTCGTTGAACATCAGGTGAACACAGATTATGGCCAATACCTGCAGCAAAAACAAGAGGGTAGTGCGGCGCCGGCCCCCTATGCACCCTATGGTATGGCCACAGCCAGCGACCCGAAGAATTGGGACCCAAATACAAAGACTTTCAAATCGGCGGAGGAAGTGCTGCTTCCCATCCAAGGGCCGGCCAACTGGTCTCAGATTTGGACAAACTATGAGTCCATTGGAGAGGACTATAAACTCGAGATTCCGGAAGGCGTTCCCTTACTTCCGCATGAATTTCAATATCTGAAGACATCGGGAGAGAAGTTAGAAAACATTGAGTTCTTCGAGCGGCTCGGGAGGGGAGGCTTCGGAATCGTGTGGCGCGTGGAAGCGGTCGTCAAAGACCATAGACGAAGAGGATTGGCGTCAGAGCACCAGATCCTCGCCTGTAAAGTGGTTCGTCTCGAGGGCATCGGAGACCTCCACTTTGACGTCAGCAACGCTATCTCCGACATGACAAACCTCCTGTTCCTCAATCACCCCAATATCGTCGGCTTCTTCGATATCATTAACATACCGGACCGCGAGACTGCCTTTCCGTTCACTCGGATTCTGGTATTTATGGAGTTATGTGCCGGAGATTTGCACAAAATTATGGACAGACAGCCCGACGGTGTGGATGAGGTGTTGTGCGCTCAGATGCTCCGGCAGGTGGCGAAGGGATTGCAGTATTTGCACAGCAAGAAGGTGGCGCACCTGGACATCAAACCGGGTAATATACTCTTCAAGTTTGTCGGACAGGATATTGCCTTCAAATTGGCTGACTTCGGGCTCTCAATGTTGTTCAGTGAGGAGCAGAGGATGACAACCCTATCGGTGGGAACGGGAACCGAGGGGTTTATGTCGCCCGAGATGGCTGTGGCCCACCAGCTGCCCATTGATACCGAGCCGTGCGATGTCTACTCCCTGGGCATGACTCTGGCCTCTGCACTGATGGGTGAATACAACTTCTGTGTGAATGGGGAACAGTATGGCTGGAATCTCAGGTCAACTATATTCAGACCATTGGCTAAGAACAGACTCCCAGAGCCTCGGGCTATCATCGCGCGGCCTATCAGTCGAGGAATGGCAGCTCTCGTCTATCACATGATTCGCGTGAATCCAAGAAACAGAGTATCAATCAGTTATTTGCTGAACCATCCGATGCTTCAATAGATCCGACAAATCACACCATAATTGCAATTATTTGTCTCATTTGTGACTTAAGAAATCAAATCAAATCAAATCATTTCAATGCAAATCATATGCGAAGTATTCATAAAACAAATTATGTTTTTACCAGAAAATTAAGCGATAAGTTAAGAGTCATAACCATATCATGATTATTCTTACGAATATCTTTAGCATAGCTATGGGCAACTCAGATTATATGTTAGTGGGAAAAGGTTTCGATATTTCCAGAAATTTTTGATAGTATTTCGGGAATATAAGAAATTCCATGTAAAGTCAAAATATGGTAAAATTCTTAAATAAAAACAATTTTCTGGTCAGTTAACGTTACCCAAGACACACCACGTGGAGGTCGACCAGAACTTGTCTCACCCTTTTTTGTTATGGAGGTTTTTATTTCAGTCATTCCTCCAGTTCACTTATAAATCAATAGATTAATGGCTTTTATTATATCGGTGTTTTGTCATTATTATTTTAATATTTGGTTTGATGTCTTTAGCGCTGAATATTCCAAGTCTCGCTTCAAGTAATTTATCTGAGATTTTATGGGTTTATTTGGTCTTAATTAAATTCATGATAGAAAAAGTTGTTCACAATCATATGTTGTTGCAAAAATGGTAATGATTTTTAAAGCATTTTGTTTGAGACAAATGAATTCTTGTGGTAGTCTATGATAGAAATCACTAATATTTGTGAATTTTTATTAATATTTCGAATAAAGTTATTTATAAAATTTGCTTAAATATCTTAAATTTCATTAAAATATATTAATAAACCTTGTTTAATTTTAATTATACTATCCATGGAATTTCCTATATTCCCGAAATACTGTCAGCAATTTCTGGAAATATCGAAACATTTTCCCACTAACTTATAATCTGAGTTGCCCATAGCTATTGTAAGAGTATTGTGAATGGATTTGCAAATTTACATCCTGTATATTAAAAACCTGTATCTAATTTACTATTAAATAAATTTTTACAGAGTTCTTGGCATAAGGAATTAAGAAATTTAATATTTTATACGAATATTATAAAGCAAAATATATTTAATATACACAATAAAATTTACACATAAGTTATATCATAAATTTCATTGAGTAGTCCTCCGCAGTCAACCTCTTCGACTGCCCGGTGCTCTTCGAGGCACTGAAGATTTTTTTGGTATAAATTATGTAAATATTTTATAACATTCATTAATCGCAAGAATTTGGCCAACGATTCACTATCGGACCGGTATTTCAATAACAGATATCGTTTCAATAAATACATGTACACGTGCTGTTGATATCTGGACAACATTTTCATGATAAGTAACAAGTTTTAATGCGGCTTATTATGTAACTCACTTAACCAACGTCCGGTGCTGTAGGCCAGGTCGATTGGGATCAAATAAAATGATAGCCGTCAACTGTACATAAATTTATACAAAGTTATATACTTTATATACAATACAAAACTTAATTTATATACCAAATCCACAATAGTCTCGTCACAATCCCATTCCCTCACAAATTCTTGAAAATACTTAACAAAGGCTTTATATAAATACTGCTTTTCTTGGTTTATAGCATCCAGGTATACGACCACAGATTGCGTCGGGTCCTCCTAATAAATCAAATAAAAATACATGTTAATTTCCCATTTGATTATACAGTGGGGCACATACATCAGGAACAACTAACTGATTAGTGTCCGCATTATAGCCAATGATTTGTCTCAAGTATACCATTTCGATGCTCCCATACTTAATGAGAGCGATCTGATCGCTCACACAAACGGCGTTAAATAGTGTCAGCCTTTTGGACATCGACACCAATTTGTCAATCACTTGCTCCATGTGCTCAGCTATGGCTTCCATGGCGTCCAAATAGGTATTGGCCACCGATTTGACCGATCCGTACGGCATCTTAAATATATGAGAAGCGCTCAACAGTTCCGTCAGTCGATTGCTTTCAATAGCATTGAAGTTGTTGTTGTAATCAGTGATGGGTCTCACGATGGGTATGATTGGGAACTCAGACACCTTTGAAGTGCTCGGTTTATGTGTCCAGACAATCGTTTTCTTAGTTGCATCGACACTGTTCTCGATGTCAATGATTTGTGCCTTAATTTTCTCATCACTAATACTGGTGTCGAGAAATATTTGAGTCATGAAATCGCTGTCAACACTACTATTCCCGGAATCTGTGGTCGACTTATCATCAGTTGTCATCTTTTTTTGAGAATTAAGTTTTGATTTCATTTTCTTTTCGGCTCTCCTTTTGCTCCTTAACTCCAATTCCCGTTCACTTAAAATTAAGTCCTAATTGAAAGACAATTATAAATTAATTTTCAAAATTGGTTTTAAAAATCATACTTTTTTCATTCCCACTTCGAAACACTTATTTAGTCGACATTTTTGACAAAATTTTCTGGTAATCAGATTTAGATCACATTTACCCTCAAATGGACACTTGAAATGGTTCTGAATTATAACAAAAGGCTAAAATGTAAAATATACTTGGTAATTATTTTTATAATAATCACCTCATCCTTGAGGGCATTCCTCCGGAAGAATGCCTTACATGAGCCACAGGTCAGGACATTGAAGTTAAAGCCTATCCATGAATTAATTAAAAGTTATTGCGAAACAATATTTAGTAATGTAGACAGGTACATATAGTTTTATAAGAATTTGTTGCTTTTAGAGTTAACATACCGCTAGCCTTATCATCACAAACAACACATTTCTTGATCACTTCAGTCGATGCCATTATAATCACAGAATTTTAAATGTTTTTAATGTAGCATGAATATTTCAATTATTTTATTGTATAAAATTTAAACACCTGTAATGTACTAGATCATTAATTTAATAATATAGCAGTAATTTATTTTATAAAGATACCTGCGTATTCATTTTAAACAAACAATATAATTAATTTAGTGTTTTAAAATGCAAACTTTATTATTAATATTATAATATATATTTAAACTATACAACATTAAATATTAAATGCTGAATTAATTTAATTTAAAATCACTTAAAAATAAATATCCATGTCAATATTGCTATGAATATAATATTGGCTCACAAATAGTAGTCATAATTGTTTTGATTTAAACGGTAGAGTTTGCGCATTTAATTTTCTAAACTAACAACGACCTTGGATATTATTTCAGTACAATTAGGTTTACAAATTAAATGCCAATGAATAGGAAAACCGGTCAAATACTACAAATAAATACTACACACAACTTATTACTAGTATTTTATCCTTCAAATGAATTCAGCAATTCCTAGAAATCTAAACACAATTTGATTTGATGTGCATATCATTTATTTATTGTTAATATCGATGGTTAAAAATTACTATTCATTAAAAATATAACTATGCTAGAAAAATTAGATGAGCATTTGAAAAACATAATCGCAAAAAAGTCTACGACACCAGGTATTCCCAGGTGGTCTCCCTGCCAGGTACTAACCCGGCTCAACACTGCTTAACTTCGGTGATCTGATGAGTACCGGTGCTTTCAGTGTGATATGACCGTAGACATTGACTTACCCATTGCATTGACACAACTTTCATATGGCACTTGCCTCATCAGTAATATGTATTAGAGCACATGCGTTTGTTTCTATTTAACAGTGAGGTGTCCGTACAATAAGTATACTCACGTCTACGGCCACATCACACTGAAAGCACCGGTACTCGTCAGATCACCGAAGTTAAGCAGTGTTGAGCCGGGTTAGTACCTGGCAGGGAGACCACCTGGGAATACCTGGTGTCGTAGACTTTTTTTGCGATTATTTTCACATTTTATTTTCTTAGAAAATTATGCACATGTTTATTTTATAAAAACCATATTTTATTTTTTTAAAAATAAGAATTTATAATAATTGATTAATTTTAGAAATCATTTTATTAGAGTTAGCTATTTATGAGTATCAAGTTATAACAGTTATAACTATAAATGCAAGTATTTTCAAATTACTTAATTGATTAACAATTTACAAATAATTATTTAACCCGAATACCTCCCGGAGCAGTGGTCCGAGTGAGTTGGGCTCCAGTCCCGCCCCGTTATTCCACACGGTATGACCCAATTGGTTAATATCGGGCATCAGTTTCATTAGCCATAAGAATCGTCTCCTCGCCTCTGATTCCGACCGATATTTCAATTGGAAATAACGGTAAAGTAAATGAATGTATGATTTCTGGTGAAGTCTACACACAATTGAAATAAATGAACACTTGATAAGAGTATAATTTATTTGATATACACTTATAAAACTTACAAAACGGTGTCCGTATGCGTGAGGTGTGGGCGGTTGGGATTGAATAGTAGTATAGCTGTCAACTAAATTCAATAAATTAAAAAGTATAGATATTTCATTTTACAAAAAACAATTATTTTCATACCAAATCCACAATAACGGAGTCGTTGTCTATTTGTGGTATAATTTTGTAGAAAAATGTTTTGTACACATCGTATATATTACTTGTCTTGGACTTTTTGATCACATCTAGTGGTAACAGTACTGAACATTTGTCATTCTGCAAGAATTGTATAAAAAATTACTCCAAATTGTTAAATATTGTAAACACCATTAATTTATCAATTATGTTACATACCAGGTTAAGTGTCCAGCACTGGGTGTTTACATCAAATATGGTTACAGCACGCATATTGAGTATATCACTGCCCCCATACTTCATCAGGGCTACTTGGTCATCAGTACACAAGCTCTTGAATGCCCGCAAATTATTTGTCATTTTAAACAGATTCTGGACCTCTTTTGTGAACTTATAGACCAATACTTGTTTGCATTCATCCATATCTTTGATTGTTGCCGTGATTGTGGTCTTTGGCTCACGGATTAGGTTCGCTGCGAATAACACTTCCGTCAGTCGATTGCTCTCTAATTCAGTTAAATTGTTTCGATAGTCAGTCAATGGTTTAGATATGGGAACCACTGATAGGCACTCTACAGTAGACTTTTGATAAGTTGTGTCACTATTTATATTGTCATCAAAATCCGAGAATAAACTATCGATTTCAATAATTTGTGAACTAGCATCCAGTACAGCTTGATCTGAACTATTATCCTGTATTGCCGCCATGTCATTATCACTCGTTGTGGTAAATGAATCATTGGATGTATTAGTATTAGTACCGATACTCCTATCCCTGCCATCCTTTCCAATAAGTTTCAGTCGTTTTTCTCTTATTTTCATTTTTATCTGTAGTTTCTTGTCTTCCGATAGAAATGAGTCCTAAAATGCATTCAAAACATATGAAATAAATATAACAATAAATGCCATAATAATGCCTACAGTTGTCATTCCGATGGCCAAACACTTCTTAAGGCGACAGCACTGACACATTCTTCTGGTCTTTACAGTTATGTCACAATTGCCTCCGAAATGACATATTGTCACCTTTAAAGGAGTCATAAAATCTGTGTAAATATTTTAAATGCAATTATAAGTTTCAGACTTACATCAGATTTGTGGGCATTTCTCCTGAAGAATGCTTTACACGAACCACAAGTAATGGCACCGAAATTGAAGTCTATTATTAAGTTACATTTATAAAAAAATAAGTCAAACAGGTATAATTTTCATTTTTTAAGTAGCACTTACTCGCAGCAAAATCGCCACAAATGCTACAAATTTTATCAAACTTTCTATTGTATGGCATTTATATTTATAACTAATTCAACGAATGGCATCAATTTATATTCAATGTATTTTCATTAAAATTAATGTAATAGTTGTTATTTGCTATAATTACAATATTTTATTTCGTTGCGTTCATTAATATAAACAAATTAACTCTTATATAAACAAATACAAATATACACAACTTACAATTTTTTAAAATAAAAATATATTAATTTTCATACATACAATAATAAACAATAATAAATACACGGTCTATTATCACTTTAATTAACTTTTTAAAATAACCCTTTTCAATCAATAATAAAAAAATTAATAAGTTACTGGTTTAAATGCAAACACACAATGTACTAAAATTTGATTTAATAAAATGAAGTTATAATGTTCAAGGTTATTTGTGAGTCCATTCTAAATGTATTTATATAAATATTTACAATATTATTACTTAATAGACAAATCACTTAATATTATATATCATGTGAAATAAAATCATTTATCATAAATCTCTCTCAGAAGTGGTGGCATACTTTGTGGCGAGGATTCCTTACCATTCCTCCACAGAGTATCTCCTAATACACGGATGTCTGGCATAACATCCATTAGACTCATTAGTCTTGCTTTCGCCTCATATTCTGAACGGTATTTCAATTGAAAATAGCGGTGAAGTAAATGAATGTATGATTTCTGATGAAGTCTATGCACATAATTAGAGACAAAACATTTATTAAAATTAAAATGCAAATTTAAAAAATAGTAAGTCATATAATAAAGAATATTTAATTTATTTTGAAAATACCTACCTAATTGTATCCCTATGAATAAGGTATGGACGGTTTGGGTTAAATAGTAATATAGCCGTCAACTGAAATCATTTAAATTATTAATATTATAAATATTCATAAACACCAAAAATTATACCAAATCTACAATTACTGAATCGTTATCCAAAACGGGTACAATTTTCGGGAAAAACGATTTATATGCATTATATGTGGTGATCATATGAGGCTCTAAAAGGCTCAAGCTCAATATTAGGGCATCATTCTCATCCTATAATTATTATGGTATAGTATAAAGTCAATTGATTAGATAATTTATTGAAGACTTTAAATAGTATGTCATATTACAAACCAAATTAATAGTCCAGCTCTCAGTTTTATTAGGGCATCATTCTCATCCTATAATTATTATGGTATAGTATAAAGTCAATTGATTAGATAATTTATTGAAGACTTTAAATAATATGTCATTTTACAAACCAAATTAATAGTCCAGCTCTCAGTTTGCAAGTCATAAAAACTACCCGAGCGCACATTTTGAATCTCAATGGAGCCATATTTGATCAAGGCAATCTGGTCACTGCCGCACAAACTTTTAAAATCACTTAAACTACTACTCATTTTCACAAAATTTTGTATTTCTTTGGCGTATAACTTATTGATCATTATTTCACACTCTTTGATGTCAGTTATCTCTCCCCTTATAGTCGTGTTAATTGGTTCACGGATTGAATTCATGGCAAACAGTACTTCTTGTAGTCGATTGCCCTCTAATTCATTGAATTGGTTTTGATAGTCAGTCAATGGTCTCGATATGGGAACCAGTGATAGACTATTGGTTTTAGAATTGATTAATAGATAAATGAATTTATTATAAATACTAGTGTTTGAGTAATGAACACAATTTTGTTGTCTTAATTTGTTTTCTTTAATCAATTGTCTTCTCATTTCATTTTCTTTCACATCTCTTATGAGTTCCTATTAAATAATAAATGTTTACTATTTTTATTATAAAAATATGATTCCAAACCTGACCTTTCTCATTCCCACGGCTAAACACCTTTCTAGTCGACATTTTTTACAAAGTTTTCTACGATTTGCAATTATATTACATTTACCATCATTTAAGCATATTACTTGCTAATTAAAAAACAATATACCATGTTTAATTTACAATTGTTTCAAACAATATGTTTAGTATTTACAATATTTTTAAGGGCCATTCGCCGGAAAAATGATTTACATGAATCGCAAGTAATGGCACCAAAGTACCTGCCTTAATATAAAACAAATTTATACTTATAATTATAAATAAAATAAATTAATATATTTATTAAACTTAGCAAGGTTTAATAGAATTATACTTACCAACTAATTTGCTTCCACTGCAAATCATACACAGTTTATCACCAAGATTCATTGTATTTAAGTTTTAAAAATATATTAACATAAATTTTAAAACTTAGGCTTATTTAAAATTTCAATTCAAAATAATTTAATTCATTGATGCTTGCCAAATTAAATACCACCTTTTAATTAAAATGAGTAATAATTTCCTTTATAACATATTTCACAAATGAATTATTAATTAATTGTTTTTATGCTTACAACTAATCTAACATCAATTAAATCAACTATTTAAAAAGTTATTGTGCACAAATAAGTATATTAACAGTATTAATTTAATACGATTCAAGTGCAGTAAAACCTACACGATTAATGATAAAGGATTGATTGCAACTGGTACAAAAAATAATATATTTTTAAAAATATTGTACAATTATATACAGTAAATATGATTCATTGTAAGAATTTCATATGGTAGTAAATTTATACTGATAGTATTTTAAAATCTTTTTAATTGTAGAATTGTAGAATTTAACAAATAAAATTATATCAAAAACATTTATTAAACAATTATATTAAGAACCGGCATTTACACTCATATTTAATATAGTATTGTTTATACATTTTTGGTATAAAATTAAAAATTATTTTGAAAACTATCACAAAAATAAATGTATTATTTGTGATGAAATTGTAAGCTTTTAGTAAATATTTTGATACCTTTATGAACATCAAATAATCGGATTTTGCCGATGATTTTAAATGAAAATTATCATGGACATATACTCTACAACATATTTAAGCCCCATTAGTTTAGTGAGCGGCCTTTATAAGATACATGCAATTTATCTGGGGTTATACACTATTATTTTACAGAAATATTTTATTTCAATTGTATTATATTTTCCATTATACATCTATAAATAACCTTGGATAAAAGTGATATTAGTAAATTATTAATAATAGTGTACCTTATATTCTAAGTGTTGGTATTATTTGTGTGATTACTGTTAAATAACATTAAATACAATAATTTCTAAACGCTTTTATTAGTTTGTTGAATTGATATTAAAAATATATTAAGTTATAATAAAAAAATAAAACACAATTAATTAATTGTAAACTATTGTATTTTATAGCAATAATATTTCAATGATTCTTAACAGCCATTAACAGCACAAATACAAACTTTTTAGTCGCGATTACATAACTCTTTTAATAGCGGAACAAATCTTAAGTCAGTTTTCATTAAAATGGTTTCATTTTTCTGATTAATAATATGCAAAATGTTTAATTTCTTAATTAAATTTACAAGTTTGCACCTGGATACTACATCCGATCTATATCTCAATAATTGAGATATACAACAATTATTGTAGATACCGTTGAAGTAAATGAACATAAATTTAATTAAATTTACAAGTTTGCACCTGGATACTACATCCGATCTATATCTCAATTGTAGATACCGTTGAAGTAAATGAACATAAATATAATGCTGTAATCTATATTTGTATCAAAAATAAATTATATTAATATAGATAATTATAATATAATAAATTATATGATAGTGTAAATAAAATAACTCACTTTATAGCATTTCTGTCAATTAGATTTAAATAGTATAATAACACTTAACTATTAATATAAATATACAATAATTTTATATTCTAACAATTTTTAAATTGTTAAATGAATAATACCAGGTCAATTATAATAACATCGGGGTCCCATTCAAGTTCCATGTTTTCCAGGAATGTTCCGACATTAACATAATGAGGCTTTATCTTGGACAGACAATATTTTGTGTCCTGAAATACATTGAGTTTTATCATATGATTGTGGTTATTCTGGTAATAAATCAATTATATACAAATGAAGCACAAAGATATGTTTAACAACAAATGCTTACTATGTTAAATGAACAACATGATTCATTAAAGTCAAAATTTAAAATTATTCGCAACACAACGATCTCAATGGACGCGTATTTAATTAAAGTCAATTGATCATGCTCACACAACGATTTAAATGCGTTCAAACGTTTAGCCATTTTGACAGTATTTTGGAGATCATTCTCCTGATACCGAAGTATCAAATTGAAGGCATCGACAGATTAAGCGTTTATTTCATTATCATTAACGTTGACCACAGCTGAGTAGTATTAGAAGTCCCGCAGGTTCTCAAGTGAGTTGGCTAACGGGAGATTAAGTAACTTGACTAACAATATTAGTCACTACCCAAAGTATTGTCCATACTGGCTGTCTAAGTTCAGTATTCGCTTTGTAGTTATCAATGATAAGTCACTGTCTGTTAAAACATTTTGGAAGTTATTGTAAATAATATCATCTAATGGTTGATGTGATGGACATTCATTTGAAGTACTGTTTTCATCACTAGTTTCCGACCAATCATTAGATGCTGTGTTAGTATTTGAGTAATGAATATAATTTTGTTGTTTTAATTTGTTTTCTCTAATCAATTGTCTTCTCATTTCGTTTTCTTTCACATCTCTTATGAGTTCCTATTAAATTATAAGTGTTTACTATTTTTATTATAAAAATTACAAACTGATCTTTCTCATTCCCACGGCTATACACTTTTCGAGTCGACATTTTTGACACAGTTTTCTAGGATTTGCAATTATATTACAGTTACCATCATTTAGGCATATTACTTGCTATATAAAAAACAATATACCATGTTTAATTTACAAATTGTTTCAAACAATATGTTTAGTAATTACAATATTTTTAAGGGCCATTCGCCGGAAAAATGATTTACACGAATCGCAAGTAATGGCACCAAAGTACCTGCCTTAATATAAAACAAATTTATATTAATAATTATAAATAAAATGAATTAATATATTTATTAAACTTAGCAAGGTTTAATAGAATTATACTTACCAACTAATTTGCTTCCACTGCAAATCATACACAGTTTATCACCAAGTTTCATTGTATTTAAGTTTAAAAATATACTTACATAATTTTTAAAACTTAAGCTTATTTAAAATCTTAATTCAAAACAATTTAATTCATTGATGCTTGCTAAATTAAATACCACCTTTTAATTAAAATGAGTTATGTCATAACACATTTCATAAATAAATTATTATTTAATTGTTGTTATGCTTACAACTAATCTATCATGAGTTAAATCAATTATTTAAAAAGTTATTGTGCAATAACTAGTATATTAATTTGAGTCAAGTACAGTAAAACCTACACGATTAATGATAAAAGTATTGAGGACAACTGTTACAAAAAAAACTATTATTTAAAAGGTTATTGTGCAATTAGTAGTATTTTATTTATTATTATTATCACTTACTTAAATCGCCACAAATGCTACTAATTTTATCAAACTTCCTATTGTATGACATTTATATATAATTCAATGAATGACATCAATTTATATTCAATTTATGTAATATAGTTGTTATTTACTAGAAATTGAATATTTTATTATTTTGCGTTAATTAATATAAACAAATTAACTCTCGAATAAACAAATACAAATATACACAACTTACAATTTTTGTTTAATAAAATATATTATTTTAAATACAAGAATAAACACTAATAAATACACTGTCTATTATCACCTTTAATTAACTTTTTAAAATAACCCTTTTTAATCAATAATAAAAAATTAATAAGTTACTGGTTTAAATGCAAACAAGCAATGAACTAAAAATTGATTTAATAAAATGAAGTTATAATGTTCAAGGTTATTTGTGAGTCCATTCTAAATGTATTTATATAAATATTTACAATATTATTACTTAATAGACAAATCACTTAATATTATATATCATGTGAAA